CAAAAAGTTTTTTATAAATAATTCGAAAATTGTATTTAAAAAAATGCATAAAAAAAATTTTACCTATATTTCAAAATTATTAAAATCCATGAAGACAATGTTAATCGACAGATTCACCCTTGTTTCCTTATTATACGTTCAAGAGCAACGATTTCTAATAACTCTTTCTTCATCAAAATTATTCAATTTCCTTTCCATATAATCTTTTCTCGTTTCTTTCTCGAAAAAAGACGAAATCGTAAATAGATAAGAAAAGAAAAGAAATTTGCTTGCGAGAGAACGCGGGAAATAACACAGATAGGCTCTCGAATCTAATGCCGTTCCTCGTAAAGCAACGGATCGCCTCATATAAAATAAAAGGGGACAGATTAACGATCGTGAAACGTGGGGCTCCTGCTCTTTCTCTTATGCATACATTAGATATGTTCATGACCCTCCCACGCGCTACCATCTCTGTCTTCTTTTCTCTTATTCGCGATTTTTCATCTTTCTCGTTTCCTGTTCGACGCTTCGAGAATATCATGTGTTCCCGCGAATTTAATTGCCTCCATAAATATCGCGGTGCTTCCATGGCCGAACAACGTTGAAATACGGATAAACGATGGAGCTCCTAATTCTCCTTCTCCTTTGAAGATCTTCACGATGGGGATCCATGATGGAAGAGAAAAAAGTAGATTGTTGTAAGCGGTAGATAGTGGTGATCTTGAGAATGTTGGATTTTGATTGGGAATATTTTGTAAGGATTTCAATCATGAGGTAAGATCATGGATGAATTTTGGTGAATATATAATATATAATATATAATATAGCGACAGGGTTTGTTATGTATTTATATACATATTTTTTTAAAAAAATTTATGAAAAATATTTTATATAGATAATATCATTTTTGGAACTTTTATTTTAAGTATTTTTATTTAAATATAGAAATTTTATCTTTGAAATTATTATTTTAATTTGTAATTTATAATAAAAAAAACTTTATATATATATTTTGTAGAAATAAAAATTAAATAATAATAATAAATTAATTTAAAAAATAAAAGAGAATTTTTTTTTAATATATTTTTATGAATATATTTATATACTAAGTAAATGAAATTGAAATTAAAATTATTTTGTAAATTATAAATTATTTTTTAAGAAAAAATGAACTTAGAAGAAATCTTTAAAATAATAACACAGTTATCAATTATTTAATTAATAATGGACATTAAAATATAACATTAATAAAGCATGTAGACATAGAATATTCAAGTAAAACATTGAAAAATATTTAAATACATATTTTTTTAATCTGACTATATTATATGCATGATATAATATCGAATAGTATAATATTCAAAATAAGAATAAAAATCTATTTTATATTAAGAAACTAAAAGATATACAAAGAAACTTTAAATAAAAAAGTTGCTTGTTTTTTTAAAAAAGAGAAGAATTCTTATCAAATTATAATCTTTATATAAATATGTGTAGAAATTAATTAATTAAAATTAATTAATTAGAACTTTGCAGCAAAAACGGAATAGTTTCATTTAAAACAATTTTAGAAGAATTAAAAAGAAAAATTTACAAAATTTTTGCTAAAAGTTTATAAAATTATTGTTTTCATTTAAGATTAAAAAAAGAAACAGTAATTAAAAAAAATATATAAAATATATATTGTAAAAATATATAAATATTTTTTATAATAATTAGTAATTTTAATCTTTTACAAATTTTTCAAGTTTTTGAAATTACCTCCGATTTACAGTAAAATATCGAAAACAATGATTACAATAATGATTACTTCTATAAACAATAAATAATAAAATATGCAAAATATTATTTATTAATATTTATTAATATTATTTATTAATATTATAAAATTCATTTTATTAATAAAAAAAAAATTCGTTTTCTATTAGAAGTAAGAAAGCATTTTTATTTTGTAAAATAATCAAAAATTTAATAAATCACTTATTTTTTGCTAATTATATTATATAATATAGAATTTTTTTTTAATATAATATAGAATTTTTATTACAAATTTCTAATAACAATTTTATCTATTGTCACCAGGAAAAAATTTCTAAAATAAACTTTAAGATAATTAAAAACGATTATTAACAATTATAAAAACAAGTAAATGCATGGAAAGGAATAAATAGATTATAACAATAAAAAAATATATAAATTTATATTAATCATACGTGTGAAAATACTTTATTGACTATGAAAATTTTTTTCAAACTTTTTTCATTTTCGAACAATAAATTAAAATCGTTTCTGAATGAAGACCGTGTACGAAGCACTAAAAAATAATAAATACATTAATATATTATTTCATTAAAGATTTTTATGATTCAACTATTTAATTATATTTTATTTCAAAGTGTTCGAAAGTAAATTTGTAATGATTATAAATAAAACAAGGCGAAATTCCAACGATTCACATTCTTTTCCTAAGTTTTATGATCGTTTTCTTTGCTTCCGTTTGTTTGGAACACGTTATTTGCCAAGAAATCGTGACCAGTCCATTCGTTTCGATTTCTGTTTCGCGGACCTTGACAACTTCCGTTCATCCGCAACAGCCACAATTTATGGACTTCGCGATTTTTCAAGAAATCGTTATTCCGTCGAAAATTTGTTTCCTATTTCTCCATATATAATAATTTTCACGTTCCGAAATTAAAATTCTTTAAAAATTTCACGAAAAATATAATAAGTAATTTTATTAAAATTTATCGATGCTTCTAGTAATGATAAAAATTTTTGATAGAGAATTATTGAATAACATTTTGAAATATAGAAAAATATCGCTTATTCAAAATTTCATTATTCAAATAACTAATTAACAGAATATAGCATTTATATTTTGGAATATGTATTCAAATAATACGAATTCACTATGTCTAAAAACAATTAATTTATTTTTTGTGATGTTGGTTTCTTATATAATGCTTATTTTTTATAAAATAATTATGTAATAATAAATATCTATAATAATCTCTATAATATATCTGTAATAATAAATATATAATAATAAAAAACATTTTGAAAATAGTTTGTTAGTTCCCACCATTCCTGGAACTATAGTATGTAATAATAAAATTAATTTATTAGAAAGTGTTCGCTGTTAAGAAGTTCTATTATAAGACGATTAAAAGCAAAGTTTATATACTAACGAAGGTTTATTACATTCATTAAATTCACAATGTTACAAGAATTTCTTTGAAAGGATTCTGAGGTTCAAATAATTTAAAATCAAAATAGAAGTTGAAAGAGTTTTAAAGATTAAAAAAGTTCAAAAAAATTTTGAAGTTAAAAGAGTTTTAAAAGTTAAAAAGGTTTTCAAAGTTCTGAAATTCAAAAAATTCTCTCAAAACACTCATATCTTCTAAAGTCTTCCATACTTATCTCGTGAAATTCGATGGACAAGCAATCAATAACATTAGACCAGCTCTCTGATTGAGCAACATTTCCAATCTAAGGAAAATCCCTAGAATGAGACTGAGGGGCTACACTATTCACAGAATTCGCTGAGAAAATTGAAAAATGTTTGCAATAATTCTTCTCAAGAATGATATTGGTTGCCATTTAAAACTAGCATGGCTGGAAAATGTTAAGTCCTAAGACGTTGAGACTCCGTCAAATTGTTTTTAATGAATATACAAAACGAACAGTCGTTCACATTCCTCTTTCATAAACGGCATTGTCCTCGCAGCATTACTATGTATCATCTGTTCAATATCTGAATAGTTTAATCTTTAATAATTTCATATTGACAAGAAAGATATTGACAAATTTGATTTTTTTGGATGATTATTTGAAAAACTGTTGATTCGAATTTATTCGGATTTATCTTTTAATTATTTTGGGTAATTAATATTTGAATATATTATATTTGAAGATTTTTTTAATTATACGATATATTTTTAATATAATATCACAATTAAATAAACATTTAATAAATTTTATTGTTATATATAGTAAGAATAAAAATTAAAATTAATAATGAAACAATATAATATAAAAATTAGCTAAAAGAAAATTTTTAGATTAATATTTATGAATATTATTAATTTTATATTTATTATTAATGTTTTTAATTTTTAATATTTATGAACATTAATAGTTTTTAAATTAGTTTTGATATATTGTATTTATGGATATTTGTACAATTATTTAAATTGATTTTTGTTTAATTTATCAAAAAAAGATTTTATATGTATATTTTGAAAAAGATATTGAAATATAAATTCTTAAACAATCTTCATTTTTTAATATTTTTAAATTGTAAAATTAAAATATTAGATGAAAAAATAGAAAAAAAAACAAGATAGTAAAATAATATATACTTTATAAAATGTCATATATGTATATAACAGTATGTAATTGAAAAATTGCGATTTTCAGAAAAATGATTTTTAGAAAAATTTAATTTATTTATTAATTATTTTATTTTTAAATTGCATAAGAATTTCATCAAAAAACTAAATTGAAAGCTCAAGATTTGAGAACTCATTTACAGTTATTAATAATTCTACTAATAAAAAGCATAAGTAATAATAGTTTTTTTTATATTAATAATTTAATTTAATTTAAAAACAAAAAATTAAAGTTATATTATTTCTTAAGTTCCTTAAGTTATATTTCTATAATATTTATAATATCTATGATATTTCTATAATAGATTCCTATTAAAAAAGACAATAAAATTATACTTTAAAGCTAGATTAATTCAAATCTATTTTAAAAAATTCAATAACATATATTATATGTATGTACTATTATCTTTTTTAATTTAGTTTCTCTGATTTTTTTAAATAATTAAAAATGTATTCATATTAAATAACAAAAATACATTTCTTCGCAATTGAATTTTGTATTTTTTACTCTATTTATGGCGAAAAAAAAGACTTGTCTTGATTCCCAAATACAGAAATAAGAAATAATAAAATTCTAAAATTCATTAATAGAATTGATCAAAAAATGCATCAATTATTTTGTTCCAGAGAGGTATGCGTGGATGAGGGCCAGCAACTGTCCTTGGCTCATGGATGTCAATTTTACGAGGTTAGTGCGGCGGAAAGTCCTGCGGGGGCAGCACTGGCATTCCAAGCGCTGCTCCGTGAAGCAAGATCGGTTCAATTGCTCCGAGCACTTCCTATCCGCCGGAAATTGGGCGTCCACTCGGTCTCGAGGGTGCTCGGCACGATCTTTGGCAAGAATACGACGAAGGACCGCAAAAAGAGGCCCTCGTTAAGCATATGACGCCTTCTTTGCGCCCTCCTCCTTGGAGGTCGTGACGAACCTGATAGAAGAACCGATGTGATCGTTCTTACCAGCAACGTCTATTCAAACCGTTGATGACGACATAGAAAACGATCATCTGACCAACGTGGATCAAGTCGCCAATCTTCCGCCTTTTGATGTCTTCTGAAAAAAAAGTTCCTGGCGTTTTGATTCAGTTTCAAGACTGATATAGAGAAACATTAGGACGTTATCTGGCGGACAGGTAAGCAGGAGGATCTATATCATAATTGAAAAAAAGCTTCGTATGTAGAGGATAAAAAATATCTTCTTGCTGCGAACGAATACCATTATTATAATAAAGAAGTAAAATTTGATGAATATATGTACTTATTATAGTCAATGTATGCATTTGAATACATACATGCATATGTATTTGAATAAGATTTTAAATCTTAAAATTTTATTTAATTAATTTAAAATTATATTGCTCATATGAGAAGTATAAATTTTTTTATAATACATTATATGTATAGTATATGTTATATTTTAATTTAAATGGTCAAGGTTAATGTGTGACTTTATTGTCTCTTTATTTAGAGAGAATATATTAATAGGACCAACAATATATACATTTTAATTATATTAAAGAACTCGATTTTTATTTTTAATTAAACATGTCTAATCTACGAATTAAATCATATTATTTAATGAAAAAAAAGAATAACTTATAATCCAATTCAAATAATTAATAATTATCATAATAACTCTGATCATTTCGATTAAATTTCATTATTTGAAAATTTATAGTAAAACTGTGTTTATACAAATAAATTGAACATAATATCTTAAGTATCATAAATTTAAAAAAAATCTTCTGAAACGAATAAGAATTTCATTGGTTAATTTTGATACAATCATAGACACATGTTAAAAATTTTACATCTACAAATAAGATTATATAGCAATATGATAGTGAATAAAAGAAAGTACTATTCGTTTTATCTCTGTATCATCTTAGAAATTTAATTTTTAGATTCAGAATATTATAATATTTAATTTAAACCAAATACATAAATCTATTTAACTTCAGTTTTCTGAACATCAATTTCTATTGAAACTAACAAAAATAAATGAAGAAAGTAACTAATAAGTTTATATTCTAAATTATGAATATATAAGGTTAAATAAAAATGAAAATTTTCATTTCTATTTAATCATTAAAGCTGTTCTTAAATGAATTGATGAAATTTGAATGAGATTTCATTTTTTCTGAGTTATTTAATGGAGTAAAATAAAAAAAATCAAAATTATATACTTATTTTTTAATAATAAAACAACTATATAGTTTTTTATTTTTCAGATTATATAACAAATAATTTCTATAAAATCAATTTTTGATTATAAATCCTATTTTTTTTAAACATTATTTTTATACATATATTTTATTTTCTAATATTATTATAATAATATTATTATATTTTTTTCTTTAATTCTATACTATATTTAGTACTTTAAAAAGAAATATATAAAATAACATATAAATAAATAAATTAGAAATATTTGTGAAATGATAATTTTTTTTTATTTATTCCAAATCTAATTCAAATATTTTTATTAAAAATTATTTTTATACAATAAAAATGATAAATATAATAAAAAAAATATTTGCTGAAAACAAAAATTATATTATTGAACTAAAATTTATAAAATCAGTGAAAATAATAATATGTAACCGATTTGTAATATTTTAAAAAATTTGTTATTTAAGTAATAGGCTTTAATAACTTAAAAATTTTATGAAAGACAATTTTTGTTCATATTAAAAGTTATGAAAAACTGAAAAAACAATTTCATCCCTATGTTATTTAACAAGTTGTTTCAAAAATAAACAAAGTTTTACTACATCTGAATCCAAATAAATACATACATTGACTATTAAATATACATATACATTTAAATGAATAGATCTACCACAACATCATAATTTTGTTGACTGTTCGTCATTGGGTGAAGAGAGAGAGAGGGTGCAGGAGATGCATATCTGGCGAACACCAGCTCCGTTTCACGCGGCTTGTAAGAATATTTCGGGAGTTCGATCGGAAAACGAGAGAATTATCTGTTGGAGAGTATTTATCTAGCGTTTCACTCGAAATTCTCAGGACATTTTTATTTAATATCTGTGAAGGAAAAATATCCATGAGAAAATCTCGTGAAAGACTGTCACGAGCGTGAAAAAGGCGACAAATGACTTTATAAAATCGGACCAAGAACCTAGTATTTTGTCTCTGTCGTATTTCATGTTCTTATTGTTTCTTTTTCTTTTTTTCTCTCTATTTTTTTCACTCTTTTACTTTTTCTACATTTTTTTCATTCTTAGAGTGATTAAATCAAGTATCTTCTTCGAGGAATAGAGCCTCGAGTGTCAGTTTTGTCGGATCTCAACGGTTCGAGAATACCGTACTGCATGTGTGACTGCTGTTCCTGAACGTAGCTTTAATCGGAAGTCGAAATATGACTCTCATCAGGTGTTTTCTAAAATTAATAGTTCTTAAAATTTTTATTAATTTTTATATTAAATCTTTGGAAAAATATTTGGTATTGGAATTGTTTTAATTTATTTATTCTTATTTTGATGATGAATTTATCATCTATTCATATATTGTGAATTCATATATTGAGAATATGATTGTATTTAATTTGTTCATAAGAAATTAAATATTAAATACAACATTCATAAATATTTTATTTGAAAGAAGAGAAATTTTTTTTTCATGGAAATTAAATTTATATTTTTATATTCTTAAATCGAAATTTTGTTTGTTGTTTACAGAATTTTATTACAAATATATGTATATATATTATTTTTTTGTTATTTTTAAATTTAGTTCTGTTTTTCCATTATGTATTATATAATTATATATTATATAATATATATATTACATAATTATATAATAAATATATTATATTTATACAATATATATATATATATATATATATATATATATGTATATATAAATATATATATATTTTAAAATAAAGTATATATATGTATAATTTTCATAAATTTATAAATATTTTTTATTTTAAATTTTTTATTTTTTTTCAAATTATTTAATATTTATATTAACTTTCTTTTATATGCATATAATATAAACTTTATAAAAAATATATTATATATTTTTTATAAAAATTATATATTATAAAATTTATAAAAAATATAAAATTCAAATCATAATATTATATTATATTATAATATTAAATAATTTGTAAATTTATGAAAATTATATTTTATAAAATATGCTAAATATAGAATAAAAATGGTCATGTCTTATGCATTATAATCATCAATCTCTGTCGCAGTTGTTTCTTAAATAAAGATGCTTGAAATTTCGCTTAATCTTTCACTAATTCTGTTTAATCAAGAAAAATTATTTCGAATTTAATATAACATAAACGACATTAATATAACATAAAATCGGTAATTATTAAAGATAAATCGCGTATAATTTATTTTATTTTCCACCTATCATATGAAGATAATCATTAATAAAATCGTAAAATGATAGATTAATGCCTTCGACCATAAAACAAGATGTGTGCTTTAAATTATGATCGTCAATTTCCATTTCAATTGTATAAAAGGAATTATGAAATTCTGACTTATTCATCGTTTCTGATTATTTAATTTCGGTAGATGTAGATGAAAATATTACTAAAAAATTTAATATTATTCAATATAATTTAATATAATTTAATATTTTATATTATTATTACTTTACTAGATATATAAAAATAAACATATTGAAAATTTCTATAATTGTCTTAAACAAATTATGGAAAATATATGAATAAGAGTATTGAACGTATGAAGAATATTTTAATTTAAATATTCAAAATGGAATTTTTTAAATTTTTCGAAAATTTATATTTTGATCTCAATTATTTCAAATTTTTAAACAGAAATTTTTTTAATACTAATTTTTCGTACGAAAGAAAATATCTTATCGAAATTAATTTCTGACCATTCTGACCCATCTTTTTTACAACAATCTTCGTCTTCATATTCAATTTTCATCATTATATATTTCATTCAATATAAACTTATTTCGTACAATTAATCAATAAGTCATTTAATAATTTTCTAAATATCATATCTGATATCTGTGATCAATCTTTTTCCGTTGCCATTTTATTTGTATTTACGATTGATATCATCAATTTCGATATACTCGCATTGATATAATTATATTTTTTTCATAGGTAATTTTTTTTTCTGGTCCAAATTTTATAAAATTCCCTGAAACTTTTCGTAAAGCTTCATTAGCCTTTTTAACTTATAAGTAATCATTGTCATTATATTAATTATTGGTCATTTCGTTTGATTCAATCTGACATTTCTGATAAAAAAACTATAATTCGATTTTGATCTTAGTGTTATTGTCATATTGCAAAAATTCTCATTTGATGTTCCAATTGATTTCGATTTTCTCCTCATTCTGAAATATTCATTATCAGTTATTCTTTTGAACAATCAAATAAAACATCTTTTTTTGATTTTTTTTTAAACTTTTCTTTAAAATTTGTTTACAATCAATGCAATGCAATAACATTTTGCATTCGAATTCTTTAAGATAAATCAATGTATTCTCTTATATAAACGAATAAATAGAAAATCTATATATCTGAATTATAAATATTAATCTCATGATATCGATGTTACATTGGTTGTTGACAATTTTATTTCAATTTTTGTTTTATATCATTGTTTTATATTCGAGTTGAAAAGCAAGAGATTAGATTATACGGATTTTTTCTTGCATTAGTTTTCTGTATATTTTAATCCTTTTTGAATTATTCAGTTCAATCTGTTTTAATGATTTATTATAACCTTGATCAAAATCTTGTTAAAATCATTTTTTCGTATTTTCGTATTTTAAATCTCGACGTATAACAAGCATATAAATCTTTATATTATTCGTTCAATATATTTCGGTTCAGTTCAAGCAAAAATATTTTTCCACAATGTTTATACTATCAATTCTATTTGACAATAATAGAAAGTGACAACAAATAGAAGATATCTTATAATTGTAAAATGTTAAAATAGAACTGTCATTTGAAAACATAATTATGATAAACTATGAGATATTAAATATAACTAAAAAAATATAAGATTTTGAAAAAATTATAATATATATATATTTTTAAATCTAAGATAAATTGTTGGATTAAATTACAATAATATGATAACTATTTTTTAATGTTAAATATTGAATTAAAAATAATTTTAATTAAATTTAAAAATTATTAATAATTAATATAAAATACTTTCTATTTTAATAATTTTTTAATATTTGTACAATAATTAAAATAAAAATATGCAAAAATAGATTAGATTTTGATTGATGTTTGGAGTGAAAGCAGAGATTTCTTTAAAATTCTTCTAATTTCTTTTTTCAAACATAACTTCACATATCACAGGCACATATCGTTTCAATCAAAATATTCTTCATATTTTCAATTGCTTAAATTTAAAATATTTGAATTAATTTAAACTTTATACTTTATATATAACTTTATATAAAATGTTAATACATTCGGAATATCTTTGATGGATTGATTCAAAACAAATATAAAATTGATTAAAAAAAAAATGTCCGTTGATGCTTATTTATTAAGTTATAAATATTGAAATTTATATTGAAAGAGATAAGATAGTGTGACAGAGATAAATATTTTATTTATTAAGTTATAAATATGAATAATGAAATTTATATTGAAAGAGATAATTATTTAATTGCTTATTACAATCTTATACTTTTTATGGTTTATTACTTAATAAATCAGCCTTAACTGGTATTTTTATGTTTATTATGGTCTCTAGAATTTGATCTAATAAAATATTACATAATATTCTATATATATATAAACACATATCTACATTCAATAACTCTCAAGAATATTTTATTTAAAACAAATTGAAATTATGCTTAAATAGTTAATATATAATATATAATATTATATAATATATAATATAATATAATATATAATAAATTGATCTTTGTTGATATTAATTTTTCTGAATTTTTCCATAAAAATTCTAAATCTATTTATCTTAACTTTTAAAAATATTCAAATATTTTTTGATATTCAATTATCAAATCAAAATTCTTTTAAATATTGAAATTACAATTTTTCTTAATTTTTTTAAATTAAATTTTCTAATATTTTCTAAATATTTCTAAAATTTTTTAAATATTTCAATATCTGTATTTAATTTTTTTTAAATATTTTGAATGTCAATCTATTTTTATCAAACAATTTTCACTTATTTAAAACCGATTTTATAAAGAATTTGGAATTAATAAATAAACTGAGATTTCTATTTTTTGAAGCTTGATACATCCCTGATGAGAGTATTTCACATTTCATACGTGAATATCGTTCGCGTTCAAATCATCATCAAGATCGCGAGAAGCTTTGATTTTGAAGCTCGTTTCACCGCCATAAAATCGGAAACAATTCGTAAATGAAACCCGATAGTCTTTCAAATAATCTTTCAAATTTCACAGTCTCCGTCAAGTGAAACATATTCACTCGCGCGGATAGCGCTGCAATATACTCAGTTTTATCGTGCTCTGTCTTCTAACGAATAGAAGAATATGTCATATTTTAGACGATTGAGACACGTGAATTTTTGTAGAGTAAAACAATCGAGAAACGAGAAAAAATAAATTTAAAAATAAGAACGAATTATTATTTTATGAATATTTATAAATTTAAGTTGTAGATAATTACAAAATGTTTGAATCTTATCTCTGACAATGATTGATTTTATTATAAGCAATGAAAAATTTTCCAATATTTTTTTACTATTTTTTTAATTTGAAAATCTTAAAACTAAAATAAATAATAATTATTATAAATAATTGAATTTATATAAAGATTTTAGATTATAGTTTATATGGAGGAAAGATAAAACATAAAAATTTAATTTTTTCTATGTTAAAAAGATGATTATTTATTATTAGATTATTATAAAGTTTGAAGAATTTCAGAGATTAAAATTTATTAAAATTTTAACTCTTGACAAAGAAAAAAAGAAAATATATATTTTTAATTTTGAAATTTTCAAAATCTCGGAAAGTTCTCGGATTCAAATTTCGGTCAATCTCTAATTTTAAATCCATTATTGCAAATAGAATGAAGCAATAAATAGTTAGAATATTAAATATAAAAGTCATGATCAAAATATCAAAATTTGTTAAACACGCATATTCTCATTAAATAATTATCATTATTATGTACTTTAAAAAAAGAAAAAAATAAATAAATGAAAATACTAAAAATTTTTATTATCTACTTTCATGATTTTTCTCGTTTTCGATTGTTCCAAAGGCAAGAATATAATATCATTAAATCGAAACGAGATGCGAGTCTCCGTTCTCGAGATCGAACTTCCAGCTTCCGAATAATCAATTCGATAATCTTAATGTT